GATCATATTCTATTGCCGACAGATTTCATTTGCATAAAGTCGAATAGTACAACATTGATTAATAGGTTACATTACATGGTACGTTGATTACATCTGATTTCAGAAATTCCAAGTAATATCACTTAAAACCAGTGGAATGTAGGAGTTGAATGCAACTTAAAAACATTTGTTTATGATAAACAGCAAATTTTGGATTCGACATTGTCCATTGAATTGTTCGTTGGCTTGTGAATAGAAACAAGAAGGTGGTAATCATTTCACAAGAGAAAAAAAAACACTACAAATAATAACATGAGCACAACAAGCATGATGCATTAACATTTTAAATCATGAATTACATAAATAACCAAATGAGTGATTTCAATCAATGGAAAACTGCAATCCCTATCAACGTTAGGGTTAGATTTAGAAGTAAGCATTATCCCCGGAAAAAACTATCCTCACTTACTTGAATTATTGAAATGTTTAAAAGAACACTAGTTGTGTTGTAAAGATTATATTCACTGTTGTGTTGTTTCATTTTTGACCATCAAAATCTCCTTTGGATAATATAGGTCTTGTGAGTACTATAATAATGGTAATAATAATAACAATAATAATCATAATAATAATAATAATAATAATGATCATAAACTTGACATTCATAACAATAATGCTGGTAAACAAAATTCATAATGATAAAGTTACTATGGATAACATGAAAATAATAGTTCATTGTTATTAGGTTATTTTAATTTTATTTTTTGCCTTTTACATCTCAACAAAAGGAAATAAACTATCAGGAAAGAGAATATTTATTGACAACAAAAGAACTGGAAGAGATAAAGAAAACTGTGTACTTTTTTGTGAAGGGATGCATTTCCTTTAAAAATTTTATGGAAAGAGAAAAAATTTGAGTGCTGATCCCTTTTTTTTTTATAAAAAAAATTTATTTTCTGTTCAGATTGGGCAAAAACAATATTGGCATTCATATATATGTATATTAAAAAAATCAAATAATCTTAGTTGAGTAGTGATTTCAAGAAGGATGATTTAGTCAAACATCTCAGTCGTCGAAATATCAAATGTCTACATATTACATGTGTTTTTCATATTTGTTCTAATTGAATAACCATGAGTGGTAATTGTAAATATCCATGTGTTGTGATAAAAGGTTTATAACTTATTGTGGTGTTAAATTCTAGAAAATCTACATCGAAGAAACCTGAATTCCCGTCTAATTTTTCTTCCAGTCTATTAGCTAAAACTATATTGAAATGCATTCATTAAATCTATGGAAGGTAAAGAAATTAGTTGGAGTAGTTAATCTGGTAAACGTTTTCGCCATACAACATGGCGACATGCTGTATGTTTACATGCTGTATGGCAACATACTAAATATTAGAAACAGTTTATCATATATATATATATATATATATATATATATATACATATTTTAAGCAAATAAAATTTAGATGTGGCAAATAGAAATTTGTTGAATTGTTGTATATTTGGTGCCAGACGTTCCTTGTCGCAGCGAAACACATAGTACTTTATGGTCATAGTACTGCATATGTCTCTCTAATTTTCTATACCGACGTCAGATCTTTGCTTCGAATCACAAGTTTGAGGACTAGTAATACTACCCCGTTGCCAAAGCCGAATAAGATGTAAAAGGGTTTGAACTAATGATATGATTACCTTAACCACTTAACCACTAATTGACTCCATTTACACAAACTGTATATGTACTAAGTCCATCATACGATATAACTGATACATGTAGCAATACAACTGGATTATAGTATGGTCAAATTGCAATATAAACAATGCTAAAAAACTAATAGACAGTGATATCGTTACTACCAATTTATTAATGATAAGATAAACTATATTCATGTAGAAATACATTTAAAATTATTAAGAAATATTATAAAATATAAATGTACACTTTACCGAGCATGGAAAGTCGTTACAGAGTAAGTAAATATACAAAAATAATGATTTCACGAAAATTGATTGATTAAATTTCTTTCCGATGTTTAATGTAAACTATTGAGTCATTTGAAACTGGCCAAATGACAACCCAAATGGACACATGCTTTTAAAATTTACGTATAACTAATAACAAAAGAAATACTGCAGAACTGATTGAGCGAGAATCTGTTATGTAAGGAATAAAACTTTTTCTGCTGGTTAGCGTTTTTCCACTAAGTTGGTTTTCCACGGGTTGGGGTCGCAAAACCCATGCCCAACTCTCCTCTTTCATCCGGGCTGGGGACTGGTAGTAATCCCAGGAAGTCTTCAGGTGGAATTTAATGAATAAATACTTTTAGCTAAATACTATAACTCATGAGTGGTCAGTGTGTCGTACATATATTCTTACATAATAATCCTCGCATAAACTTTAAGTTGTTTTCTTTTCTGGATGTTACTTTCTTACTTTGTAACCCGCTTAATCAACTCATGTATTTCGAACTGCATTCTTAGTTGTTTTTATTATATTTCATACTACTATTACTTGGACTTACTTGAATTATCATTCCATTATTTTGTATTAAAGTAAACTTTGATCATACACAGACAACCAATCAAAACATTCAGCTCAGAGTACGAAACACCATCACAATCACACGGATCATTTTCTATCATCTTTATAAATAACTAATCGAAATGGATGATACATATATACATATTCTTATGGCTATTATTGTTTGAACCACAATTCTGAGGTGTTGTTCTAAATAACACCAAAAAAAACTGCCAAACCAATATATCAATGAATAAGAATAGAAGAATTTTAATGTAGTCGCATACTCTGTTCTGACTGATTTATTCCGGACTACATCATCAGTATAGGTTTCGGATGGCAGTGAGTTATTGGTATACCTCTATATATGATCGGCAGCTTGTTGTGTTGAGATATACAAACCGATCCCAATAATCTACTTCTATCTGAAGTTTATATTAAATATGTAATCTACAGAGATTGATGCATTCTTTTATAACATCGTTGTCAATGAAACAAACGAAGCAACTGTTTTTATCAAATTTGAAGGTCAAAATGAAATACTGCTGCCGCGTAACTCATTTTACAACTGAAATCTAACAGGAATCACAAACTATTTTTTATACATGAGCTAGTCAAATATGGGGACTTTTAATAAAGAACTTGTCATAATGGATAAACTTTCGCGGAATCTGAGAATTCACCTGCTGACGATCTATTTTTGCTTAATACATCTGATTCTAATCAGAAGTATGGTCAAACAATTTGATAATGATTATTTTTCTCAATTATACGGTTCAATGCTGTTACAACATAGACAACAAGGTTCCGGTTGATAGTGAACCGAAGAAAGAAAATAATAATGACATGATCAAACTATTTCCTATTAAAATGATTAGTAATGAAATACTGACCTGTCTACAGACAGCTTAAAAATTAATTTCAAATTTTATTTATTTTAGTATCAGGGGTTATGAAAATTGTCAAATATTTTAGCTTTTCATTAGTGTTACTTTGTGTTTCTTTCTCGCATATTATATTCCATTATCCTATCACTGCTACATAATAAACTGATATAGAAAAGCTGATTTGACTCAACCAAAGTACAGTATTACCTCAATTTTATCTATACAAACTTGCTGTATGTGTATTCTCTTAAGATCGGGAGGTGTTGTGGTTGTGAAACGTAAACAACCTTATCAACTTTTAGCAGACAGTGGTGATCTTATCTCGTGTTTTTTTAAATGTCGATATTTTGAATTGCCAGTTGAACATGTATACATGACTTATAGACGACATGCAAATATTATTAATATAAGGGATTAATCAATCGAAGTATTGACAAAATTGGCTGGTTAACTTGCAGACACTGACTGTATACTTCACTAGCAAAACGTATATTCATAATCTTCAACGCGAGGTCACTATCTAGTTCCATAAATTCATGGAACTTTTAAAAAGAGACCTTTTAAACGCATCGTGATTTCAAGCCCTTCTGGAAAAACAAGGTCCGCAAGCATTTCATTATAATCATAACACGTAAAGTATGACAACTTTAATATTCATTGAGTATCTGGAATAGTCCTTATTAACGATAAGCTTTGAAGTAGAATGAAATGATTTCACTTTGTAAATGGTGCTATTTTCACTTTCCCTGAAATTCTCTGTTTAGAAAAACGCTGAAAATGAGTATAAGAAAAATATGAAACTCACATTGAGAAGTTTGAGCGAAAAAGCATTACTAATGAACGAAGAAAACTAACGGTATTAAGGTGAAGATGAGATTCCAAACAGATTGACAAAAACCCCAATGAGTCGATATCATCAGAAAAGTGGAAAGGTATTTAAAATGATAAATGAACGCCTTATTCATACTATTTCGATTAACACTACATTATTTTAATATACCTGAGGTGTCGTATATTAATTTATAACATTTGTTGGTTGATTCATTATGTCATCGGATGACAAGTACAAGAGAATATCACTGTAATAAATCTGAGCACAAAATTTTTTTCTCCTTCTAGTGTTCAAGTATACAATAAATCTACAACATTCATGTAGCTCATTCAATTATCTAGTGACTTTTGATGGCGTATAATCGTTTTTGGTTAAAAACTACTTCACAGAAAATTCCAAACCATATGCGTATCGAACGTATCATTTTTGGTGAGAATAAGAAGCTCATGGATTGATTTAAATGTATCCAATCAGGTGTTTATGAATATTCGCTTGCTTTTAGGACAGTTTACATCGTGAACTAGCTAACAATCGTTTAAATTTGAGAAGTACTGAAAGGGTTTCATAGCCAGTATGATACCATTCAGTTGTCCAGTCAATGACCAACAATCTAGATTCTTCAAACTGTTCTTATCTCAGCGACTGAACAATATAATACTTCTAAGGAGACTGGCTTAAAGCCAGGCAATATCGAATAAATTAGTATTTCTATCGTCAAAGTTTTTAACGACCAACAACATTAATGATAGCAATAATAGTGATATGTGTACATATTTATATATTTACAATCTTTTAGGTCTCATTATTATTAACCACAATAAAAAATAACAACAAGAATGTAGACAAAGACGGGAAGATAAACCGAAGTAATAGTGTTTACATATATCGAAGATAAAAGTTTCAATCCCTAAAATAAAGTCATTTTGAAGTGAAAAAAGAAGATTTAGTGTTCAAAATAACAGAAATAAATAATACACCAATAGATTGATAATCTACATTGTAGTGTTGTTGCTTTTTTAAAAAAAATTCACATATCCAACAGAACTTATTTTTAATTTACATGAAATTTTGTTGTTCAATTCGTTCGGATATCCCACCCCATCGTATACGAAATCGTTTATCACGCCAACGTACTTCACGAAAACAAATTGCGGTTAAATGCAGTGGAAAAGCCAACAATTCAGAAAATAACCAAGCTACAAGATACTCTAATTTTGTAATACACATTGGAGTTGCCGGCGGATAAATTTGACGTAATAATATATAATCTAACAAAAACCATATCAGGACATAACACATAAAATAAACACCTGGATCAATGAAATTTGGAAAAATATAAGCAAACGTAAAAGCTCCCAATAAAGCATTCGGCAGACATCTTGTGAATGGTTCAAATACAAAACTCAAAAGTGCCATACTTAATCTTAACTGTGACCAACGTAATATTCTTAAATAAAATTGATATAAACAAGGAGATGGTGAATTTTGCCAAGCTGGTTGATGAGATAAAGATATTTTCCAACCTTGACTAGATATATACTTTGTAAGGAAAAAGTCTTCTGCTAGATAACAGCCAAATTGTTTAAAACCACCGGAATCACTTAATGTTGACTTACGTAGTAAACATGACATACCAGTTACACAATTCACATTAAGAAATGAAGCAAGTAAATAGACTTTTGCATGCCAACATGAAAAAAACACCAACTGTACAACCCAGGTAAATGATGGTTGTTCACAAACGGTTGGAATATATCCTGAATCTATTGATTTTCTTTCACTTATTGATCTTTCATAGGCATTATTATAAATGTTATGTTTAGGGCGATCTGGAAGCAATACAATATTTGTGTCTCGTGTAGATGGTAAAATTCCATTATATGGCTTCATATAAGGCACTTGATGGATGAGTCCAACTTTCGGATTCACTCCTAATGATGATACCATATCCATCAATGCATCTGAACACATCCACAAACCTGAATCTGATATCAATAACAACGAATACTTGGAAACCTCATAGCCAGCTTGCAAATTATTAATCTTTGGATTGATACCGAACAAGTCTTTGGCTATGATAATTTGTGCATCAACATGTGGATACTGTGTAATTAAGCGTTCAGCAAGTTCATAGGCTGGATCTTCTTTATCGGTTATACAAAATAGTAATTCAAATGTAGGATAATTCATTCGAAAAAATGATAATAAATTATTTTCCAAATTTGGATCTCTACCAGATAAAGGTTTGAGAATTGAAACACCGGGCCAATGCACTTCAAACTTCATATCAATTACTACATTATTATTAACGGATATCATACTATTGTGATTTTCTGTTGACAGTGGAATAAGTGTACTTTGAGAGGTAGTTATAGTATTAATGTTAGCAGTTGTTGTAATTGTAGCGTTAGTATGCTTTGTTGTCATTATTTTGTTAACGTTACTTTTGCATTCATAACAAAACAAACATTGTAAACACGAAGTAATTGGCAGAACAATATAGGATACTGGCCATTTACAAAATATTAAATATAATCGACGCATACATCGGCGATAAAATGAACATTTATACACTTTCTGTAGATATGTCGGATAAGGCACTTGATACAGATGCTTCTTAGCATACAATATAGCACATATATGGGCGATAAACAAAAGAGAATTTGACAGAATACCACCAATACATAGTAAACTGATTAAAATATCCAAAATGAATGAATTTGAAGAATAAAGATCAGCATAATATATGTAACCATAGTTTGATAATCTTGTTGTTAGATTTAATCTATAGAATTCATTGACAAAACGGAACGGATCCATTAACGGTAATTTTCAAATAATAAGATTATGGTTATATGGAGAATACGTTGATGTGTTCACATTATACATAATCGACTGTGTTATTGTGGTAGGTAGTAGAGTACACTAATTGTAGCTGTTGTTATCAAGGTGTAAAACGTTGCCAGTCATGAAATATCTTCAGCAGTAAAACAATGAATTCTGCAAAACTGTTTGATTTAAAATTATCTAAAATATTGAATACCAATTATCAGTTTGTAACCGAAGTTCAATCACTAACTACGGACGATGAAAAGCAGCAGATTGAAATAAACAACTGAATGCATAGACTATAAGTCAAATTTGTTGTTGTCATTACCACTGTCCCGAAGATATCAACTGAGAAATGAACCTAATTTTTGAATTCCAGTCTCAAAACTATCAAGTCATCCATTTAAATTAACAATGGGACCAGTAGAAACCACTCTTCCTGAAGTGATTAAGCTTATTTAGGTAACTGAATCTCGGCGATCAAACTGACTTCGAAGTTCAAAGTAGGCTTCATAGTTTGAAAGCACACTATGCCAGAGGTAATCTTTCGAAACTAAACCCTTGGCATTCAAATTAATCTTCTTGGCTTTAAATATTTTGCTTTAATAATTAGCGGAAGCTGGAATGTTGAATAAGCTGTAATACCCACAATGTCGATATAAAAATAGTGATAATGAAACATGAAATTAAAGACCCCTGTAAAAATTTATTCACCGATATTTGAACAATTATTAATAGGAAAATAACTGAATCCCGATACACAATAAACTATCTGAGCACTGTTAGATTTTAATTTAACAAATAATTTAAAAAACTGAGATTATAACAAGTTCATTAAGAAGCTTGTAATTAGTGTAATAAACCATTAAAACAAAATTACTATCCAAACTTTGTTGCATCAATAAACGAGAACTCTTTATTTTATTTAACTGAACTACACGCTGTACACCAAAGAGAATAAAATAATCAAGTTTTGTTTCCAGACGAATATATGAATAACTTATATAAAAAGTAAGGGTTTACATATTCTACTTTGAGTTATACTATTTCGAGGATATCGACAGCATTTAGTTGTCTGAAAAGAAATAGCTAGATGTGGATTCGAACTTCAGACCTGATGGTTGGGACACATATTTCAGTTTGCTTGTAGTTTAATAAATATTTAACTTCGATAAATAATAAATAACAATTAAAAAGATATGACCTCTCACCTTTCAGTCAACAAAGATTACTTTGAGTGATAAGCAACTTAATATTACATGGTATTACACTTGAAATGTAGATAGAAAATAATATTACTCCTTCTCCGATAGGCCTAACAGTTATTCATTTCACTCAACCTCATAAGCATTCCCTTAAAATACATGGAAATTTACCGTGAAATCTGAATTCAAGCAATAAAACCTATTCCTGCTCATTAAAAACAAACAGATAAGTCATGTTGATTTTGACCTCAAATAATCAAATGACAAACATTAAACTTGTCGTCAATCCTCGTAAATCTGTATAAATACTGACGATTTCGAAGAATATTATGAAAACTCTAAGTTTTAAACCAACTGGTGTTCGGAACAAATGGCTTCATCAGTTTGTTTATTCATTTTATTTTTAACGATTAAATCCAATAAAGATATTACTAAATACTTTACGCTCTGTATGTCTCACTAGACTTTCTTTGATGAAAAGTTTGAAAACTACATAAAATTTTGTGATTACTTACTAAAGTCAATAACAATTCAAAAGTCATACTTATTCAACATTTCATGAGTGCAATAATAGTAGTATTTTCAATAGTTTCAAATAATTTCTTGATTTTGCAAGAGGATTAGAAATCACATGACTCAGTAAATGACAAACAAATGATGGTCATCATAAAGAAATTTGATAAGAATCAAATAAAAATAAGCTTGTATTGTTTAAGTCATACATTCAAAAATTAATTAACTGCACATAAATATTACGTAATCCAATCTCATAACATAAACAGATAAACATTCATAAAGTACAAAGTTATGGCTATTCCTTGGCCATCGTATTTGTTGTGATGCGATTCGGGGATAGAAATATGTTTATCGACGTTCCGTACCAAATAATTTAATTAGTTATCTTCTTTGCTAACGCATGCCACTAGCATGAACGCAGACTTCAAATAAACGTTCTTGTAACAAAATTAGAGAAAACTGTTAATTTTCCACGGAACAAATAATCTTCTGCTAATGAAATTTAAGTAGAAAAATCCACAAATTAGCGAAGACAGGTGATTAAAAATTATAACCTGTTCAAATTACTCAGATTTAAGAAACCAAACCACACCTAATAAAGGTGTGGTTTATAGCTTGGTAACTTAATCTATATATAGACCGTTAGTCACATTTTGCTATCAAAAGAAATATCAGTCAAAAAAGTCACCAGTTTCACCAAATTTTAAGGTCACAGTTTGTTCTTCAAACGTTCAATAACTGATTGAGTGACTAAGTGAAAATAATCCTTAGTCTCGACTCATATGGAAGTGTGGTAGTGGTGAAGACCAGATACATACAGAACGACCGACAAAATACGAAATAAAATTGAGGATCAATTAATACCTGTTTATTTATCGAACTTTTTCATCACTTCGTCGTTGATATGACAGGAGAAATTGGATCGCATCACAACAATACGTATCATATGTTGCATATAATACTGAAAGGCACGGATTATATCAACCCACATATTTTTTCACAATGTGATCTTTACAAACCCTGAAATTTCGTCCTTGTACTAATAGTGATAGTTAGCAGATTTTTAACGAAGTCTGCAGTAGTGATCTTGTAGTTTGATAATCACAACATCATGCGAATAAATGAGACAACCAGCATAATCAAATTTACCAATAAATTCCTGGTAATCGTACTTCTGTTATTATTATTCCAACTATAAGAACTACTTGAGTTCTGATAAAAGCCATATCTCTCATTACCTTATAAGAAATCAAGAGCAGAACATAATAATATAGTTTTATTTTATTCTGGTTGTCAGTTGGTATTTAAACTACAAACATCTACTCGATCTATTTACTGGGCTAAATTTCAACCGTATCCCAAAAGATTTCGTAAATTAGCCCTATAAATTGACGTCACACCTTTAATTAGATTTCATTTACCTTTCACTTCGAATAAAACTGATTAAGCCAAGAGAATATTGTGTGGTGCGTTCATATATATATCATTTTACATATGTTCGCGATGTATTAACAAAGGCATCATTTTTTATGTGACTACGTTTGTTAATTTAATATAAATCAGTTTAACTTTACACTAAAATGTGGCCTCTGTAAAAAATACCATGAGGTATGTAGAAGCAAGTTATAAGATCTGAAGGAAATCCCTTCTAAACGGAATATAGTGTTTCGCTTTACTGCATACTTTACTTTTCATAAAAAAATTACAGCTTGGAAGCCTTATAAAAATAATCTATTGAACTAAATCATTTTGCACTGAATCACCTTAAATACATATGACGATAGATTGATTGAGTTCGTAATAAGGCAGACTACTTTATTTTAAGACTTGAGGGAAGTCGGACAGATTCCAACGTTGTGGTCAAGTTAAACAACGGTGAGATATTTTTATTACCTCGCACTACTGGAAGGATATCGACCTCAAAAATCGAAACACACATTAAAAGTCTCTAAAGATGGATCTGGTTAGAAGAGGTAAATAAATGTTCTCATTAAACAAACCATACATTTATCTCTAACCTATGGCTTGACTGACTGTCACATGATGGTTACTGACTGATTTTTTTACAATGAGAAAACGTATTTCAAAACATAGATCTACGCTATTACGTTTTCTAAACCCGTCTTGATCAGCTTCGTCATGACGAAATTTATGGAATTTATGAAGAGTCATTATGACTTCCATCACTTATATTTGCATCAACATGAGTGTCTTATATTTAATTAAATCTCTCATACTGATCTTATCACCTTTCAAATTATACCAAAGCATCTTATCTAGTTCAGTTTTATTTCATAGTTCTTCATTACTAATACAATTATTAAAGTCGAAACTGATGCTCTAGGCTTTATTTTAGCTGTTATATCACTCACCTTCGGATTGTCCACCTGACGCAATAAATTTCAGATGTCTTTATAAAACTTAATTAAGACTTTGGCTTCATTTTACAGGTACATTTAATTTCCCATTCGTCCATCTTGATTAGTCTACTATGACCATGATCAAATATTGAGTTTAAGACAGTTACATCAAATACGGTATTTGGTTTAAAAATATTCGAAAAGTAGTTTCAAATTGTCTTCAGATTATTGGCAGCACAGATGCCGCAACGGAAAGTCTTATACTAGATGAGATCTTAAAAACTGAATCAATCAGTAACTATTATCTAGCTCACATAACTTGCTTCAGTGATATAAATGAAGAATATTAAATTGAGTTTACTGAGCAGTTCACTGGGTGCTATTTTATAACTGTGAGACGCGACCTCAAAAAACAGAGAATACTTTTACGTCATTCGTATTTGATTAAACGTTTCTACAAGGTTTTGCTTGTACATTTCAGAACTGCCGAGTCAACATTCCTGAGGTAGGGTAAAAGGTACTAGATAAAAATGGATATTTATAGAGGAGATAATCAATCCCTATCGGGCGAGAAGGTTAGGACGTGTTTCATGTGTGCTCGGTCACTGGCTAACTTGAAGCGCAATTATAGCTGGTGTAGGAACAGGCTGCATAAAAGATAGGGACGGTCACAAGTGGATCACCTAAGTACAGATGGAGTGCATCGGGTTGGAATCCATGTGGGTGTTGTCATCAAAAGTTAGAAGCTTCGAGTGAGATTGCTCAAAACCGCACACATTAACAGACTGACTGAGCACAAAGTAGAAGCTAAGGCTTTACAAACACTGACGTGAAATCAAACATTTTTAGGAAATAAGGAAATAGTAAACCAATGATGTCTTTACGAAAAATTTCTAGAACAACATGATGTAAATGCCTTTTTTATTAGTTTGACTCATTCCAACCACAACTCCATTTAAACCGTTCTAAGTAACTATAGTAAATGCAAAAACCATAACGAATCGGTGTTTTTGTTATTCAACTATACCCTCATTTAAAAAAAGACAGAATATAAAGTAAAAAAGGTCAAAATGCTTGCAAGCGTTTAGGCTATATCTAACTGCTAAATTGATAGCAGAAATGTCGAATATTTACCATTACTATAACCTCAAAATGAGGTTGAAACGTCAATAGATATTTCACGAGAGTTGGAAGAAAACTTGAGATGAAGCCAGTATTTCCCCAAATGGCTTTCTCAGATTGAATTTCCGTGATTTGTGTGAACACATACTACCCAATATCTTTTTAATGAGCTACTATAAGCTAAATGATTTCTTCGCGCTGCCTTATTGTACTTTCAGTACGGATTCAAGTATTTATTAATAATTACCAGCTAGTTTCATGACTGACAGTTTGTAAAATCCTTTCAAATAACTACCTGAAGTAAAATTTTCAAGGAAACAAATTTAATAGCAAATGGAACCTTAGGTTTGAAAGCAGTAAGTATACTATCTTATCAAACAATGAGAATATTATGAATAAAGGTATGCAACTAATTAACTGACAAATTTTGGTGGAATACAGTATTTTAAAAATTAACTCTTAAATTTGAAAGTATATTGCATATCATATACACACATATTATAAAATCGAACAAATGATCCTACCACGGTAATCCGTCCAAATAGTCAACTGAAGGTCAACATTTACATTACGGGTATACTTTAATTTCATAACCGAAGCAGAAAAACAAAAGATTAACAGTTTTTCCTTTTTGAGTTAGTATTCTTTTTGGGCATGACGATCATCTCATCATTGACATATCTGTTCACTTCCTTCGTGAAACTTCGAAATCGACGACTCTTTATACGTCTTTTGACAGCATTACCAGTGACAGCCCCCTAAGAATTCTTTGTATTTTCTCTGTCCAGAACTTCAACATTTTCCGACTAAGATTAGGTACATAGTTTTATCCATACACTGGTATGAAAAAATCTCTAACAAAGCATTCAACTTCCTGCTGATTTTCATGTAGACAGAGGCGGAGCTGATGGTCATGTCCAACACAGTGCTTGTCACATTTGCTGTATTTGATTGTGTAGATGATTTCTGACAAGTCTAAGGAGAGCTTGCATAATCTGAGCAGTTTATGGAGACTTCGGTACACGGTTTAGTATTCGATCAACGATAAATCTCGAAAAGCAGTAAAGTATGCGACTCATGCAGGATTTCAATAGATTATACATTATTTATATCGTTTGGATTAGTGTCAAAAAACCCAGTATGGATGAGAGCTAGCTAAACTCGTCTACCTGCAGACCGCATTCTGATTTCCTCTGAATGATGATGAGCAGTCCGTATTGAAATTATTTTAATTGCGAACAAATCCCAATGGAATTCGAAAAACAGAATGAAACCCTATACATTCGAAATTTTCGCCCCTATTTGACATTCTAAAAACTGTAGTACATTCCCACCTACAACTTATTTATCTTCCACAGCTACCAGTTCAAAAAGCAGTTCTCATAATTACATTTTTGAGTATACATAATTTTGATAGATTGGTATCCTTTATCTACCATGATCTCGGGTTTTCTGAGTTTTTACTGGATTGAAACATTTGTTAGCTGTTTCAAATGATGACATGTAATAAAGTTAGGAGTCTGTTAATGAATAGATTGTGAGGCAACTTATCGAAAGCCTTCTTGATACCAATTGTTTCTTTGGATGACGTATGCTGGTAACTTCTTTGAAGAAGTCTGTCAGACATGTAGTGCATGACCCAGTTCTAATGAAGCCGTGATGTGAGGGATCGATAAGACTTAAGCTAAGTAAGTGATTAGATAGTAGATCTTCTAACACATCCTTCATTATCTGTGAGATAACTGGGGTGATAATAATTAGTCTGTAGTTTTGGGTTAAGTTTGTCGGATCCTGGTTTATGTTTAGGGAAAGCATTATTTCACTTCTAGGACTCTGGGTATGTACCAGCCTTCAGGCATAATGTAAATATTTTGAACAAAAATACCAGCATATTTAGTCCTTCCATTCAAAAGAGTAAATATATTATTCTATCCGCACCACAGCTCGCATCGGGTCTAGGGGATTGAGATTATCTTTGCTGATACAGTTAACATTGAAATCCGAGTTAAGAGATGTGTTCTGATTGAGGAAGAGTCATTTACTTGGAAGTTCACAAGTAACAGTTTGGTCTTAATAAGTCTCTCCATCATGCAATATAGAATAAATATTTTAACCTGCGTACTTTTTATGTGTTCCTCAAGCATATCTCAAAGGTTTTGGGGTTTACATGTAGAAGCTGATTTTTCACACCTTTGAGAGCATCCTGGCAGATGCGGAGCAGAATAACGAAGCCTTTTGGGGCTCCAAAATAAAAACCAGGAAAATGTATATCTTAACTCTTCCTGGAGCCCTTTCGGAGTTGCGGCTGGTCCAAAGCATGGATCGAGGAGGAATGCTGTACATGGGGTTAGAGACCCAATACCTAGAAACCAGCTCGCTGAAAACCGATAACAAGTAAAAAATGCATGTCATGATGAAAACACTACCAATGTAGAATCTAATTTGAAGGCCTTGTTTTTTGGAAAATCCCTCCATGTATACATATTCATGTTATGATCTGACTGACACTTTCTGTTCGATATTTTGGTACTCTATTTGATCCCATTTCGGGATTTTATCATTTGTATCTTGTTATTATTTCTATATCTTGTACTTATACTAAAGTTTCTATGTTTCCTTCTGAACTATATACGTGATGTTTAAAATTGCTAGTGAATATGGCTACAGCCATTTTTGGATTTGGTCCTCTAGCAGCAGCTCGTTGCAACTAACTGGAAGCATTTATTCTTCCAGTATCGGAACTTATTGTTATGATTAGAAACTCGAATTTGTAATACTGTTTTGGTAATTGTCTGTATTTCCCTTTTTGATTAAAAATAGAACCGTTCTTTCACAGATTTATCATTTTTTGACTTGGACTGGGCGAGACGCGTGTGAACCTACAACTTTTGGATTCAGAGCTCACTGCGGGAGTAGTGAATATTTCTTTAACCAGTTATATCAGTATAGATAGCTCCTAATTGAAACTTGTAGCAGATAAAATGCAGTAGGTTACAACCTCACCTATACTAAGAGGACGATTAAAAATAGTATAGAAGTGCGAAGGACAGTCAGAAACCCCAGAGGTTTAATTTGTGTGGAAGCAAACAGTGGAGATGAAACCTTCATCTCTAGAAGTAGCAATCAATACTTACGCATTAACCCGCACGAAATATACGGAAACATTATTTGAATGAATATAAAAGATTGGATCGTGGTTACATAATACTTTCCAAAAACTTGAATAATGGTTTTTTACCTCTTTACTTAAGGAATGCTAGTCCAAATTGTCGAAACCGGTATCAGTTGGGGATATTTGGAAATACAAAGAGTGAACTAGGCTCACCTGAAAAATGCCTTTGTGACGTGAATCCAGCAGTCATCACTCCGTCAGTATTTTTGCTGTCATTACGCATAGTTTCCCTTTCATGCATGAGCTTCATTTTTTTGAAATGTCCTGTATGGAATGTTCGAACATTCATCCCAAAGACAGAATTGGCTAGCAACACTTCCGACCTGTAAAACATTCAGCTTCCAAAATCAGATAAACTGGACAAGAACATATTGCTAGATATAATGAGAACCTCAGTAAGCGACAGCATTTGTTACAGCCAAGTACATAACACGCCAGTCTAGTAGCTAGCACAGAAAACAGGTAAATTCTCAATCAGCAATTTATCATACTAAATCAGTTGCTAGCTGTACCAGGTGCCCAAAACACATGGTCAGTTTGGTAAAGACAGGGTTCCCAGTTACTTTTTAATAAAATGTATTCATTGCATAGTTATGCTTATCAGTGCTCATCCGTGATGTAATAAAGCGGCAGAACTCACAACGATCGCTCTAACTACTCGGCAAGAAATCGTCCTAATAAATGAAACAAGTTCCCTGTCTTTTGAACTAGATGTTGAACTAAGTATCGGTTACGTAAGTGTACTATTTCAACTGAAATCATAGGAGTTGAAAATGTATCACCTACGTATGAAACCCTGCTAACACAATAAAATTGGAAAGTATACTAAACAATATGCCAAGCTCATCATGGGTCACTGGATAAATCACAAGTTAGAGAATACTTGAAGCACATAGCATATTCGAAAATGTCCACACATGTTTCAGTGTTGGTCGTTGGTTTCAAACTGATTGCTGATGATTTCAATCTTCCTGAAGTCAGTTGGTAGACAGGTAGTTATCCAGGAAGACATGGATAAAAAGTCGCCAGTATAGACATTCGCTGTTGGAAACAGTGTGCCATACAACCTGTGAGCAGCAATAATACGTTCAACTTTATTTTATACCACAACATTATACCTGTCGTGAAGCATGTCAGTAAAGTAGGGTAGTAAATTATTCCTTACCAATCAACACACTAAATACGAAGAATGGAGAATACCATCGTCGCGCAACTCCACGATGTTTCAAGTTTCCCGACTGGGAGATTTTTCACCCTTGCAGTCAAAATATGAAACCTGCAAGTCCGTTAGCCGAAACACGTCTCTAAATTTACTATCATGTGAGTGGGACGTTCCGATCCACTTGTGATTCAAACTAATATTTTATGCGAATCGGGGGCTTGAACAGGCTAGAAAATTTGTCAGGAAGGCAGAAAGATGGAAAATAATCATGCGTTAAAGCTCTCAAACAAATTGTGATATTACTGATAATCACTAATTGGATGAAAACTCTTACACTCCATGATACAATCATTTGAGAGATAAGAATGACACCTGCACTCAGGTTCCTACGTCTCATAGGCCCAGCAAGAAAAACCTGAGTAGGAGAAAAGAGCGTGTTCATATCACTGCTATTAAGTCTCTGCGTTTGATGGTTGTGAACATTATAAACTGAAAGAACCTACTTGATACATCAGGGAGATCAAATTAAGCATAGACGTCGGCCCACCACGATCGACAACCTGCGATAGAAGACGCAGAAACCACGGACTTGTCAATAGAAAACACTGCACAGGCAGAAGTCCTGCAACCCTCGGTTCCAAGATTAGTGACCGACCCGGTTCAATCAAGTTGTTTGGGAATCCAAGAATGGATTTGATTGCACAGGCGTACCAGGTGATGAGACAAATCATCAGTTGCTTCCGTAGCTACCTAAGTACTAGGGAAAAATTTGAAAGAGACCAAAACCATGTATTCCCAGATGGATCATAATCTCTCTGGGAAGTGGTTGTCCTTGGGCAGTGACCCCGATAAAATAGGCTTGCAGGGCATGATACTATTCCAGTGCAATTACTTACCTACGACTGTTAACTCCATTGGAGCACAGGCCACCGACAACTATTTGTAGAATCCTTTTTGAATGTTTTGTTTTTTGGAAAATCCCTCCCTGTTTACATATTTTTGTTATGACGTGACGGACTCTTTCTGTTGACATTTTTGGTATTTTATTTGATTCCAGTTTGAGATTTTATCATTGTATATTGCTATTATTTCTATATTTTGTACTTATATTGAAGTTTTTGTGTTTGTTTCTGAACTGTATAAATGTTGTTTAAATTTGATCTTTAATATGGCTACAGCCATATTTGGATTGATCCGGTAGCAGTTGGACTTAACGTCACTTATTCACCCTT